CGAGGCCTTACACATCCATAGGAGTGTTGTTCTTTAAAAAATGTGAACCTGAGAGGATGTACACTTTTCAATATCCTACTTTGTTCCAAAGATAGTTGGAATGCCTCTTTGGATGTTTCCTCCAGAGGTGGTAATGTATTACTTTCAAATATCCCTTATTATAACAAAGTTTCAACTTCTTTTAAAGATAGACTTAAATGGGGAAAAAAATCCATTCATCCTCTCTCTCTCTCTCTCTTACTCTTAAGACTGGGATGAACGTAGGCAAGTCACTTAACTTCTGTGTGCCTTAATTTTCCCCATCTGTAAAGTCAGAATAAAACAGTTATCTGCCTCCTAGAGTCTTGGGGGAATTAAATGTATTAATATGCTTTAAAGGCTTCAAATAGTCCCTGTAATATAGTAAAACAAAACAAAACACTCTGTAAAAAGTTAGGTAATACTAGAATTGAGACTGTTGAAAAAAATACAGGTAATGAAACTGAGCAGTACATTTTTTTGGTGCAAAACAATGAGGCATATGTCATGAGACAAACTTTTGGTATTTATGTATATTACATCATTATTTACCACTCTCTTCACTATTTTAACCAGAGCCCCTTCTCCTGACTTAACCATCACCTACAGGGTGAAAAGTTCTCTACCTTGGGGGAAAGTACCTCCCAACTTTGTAAATTTATACTGAATACCCTCTGCAAATTAATTCGGGAAACAGCTTCATGGGATGCTCAGAATTCATATTTTTCCTTTTTCTCACAGATAATTAAATGATAACTTACAATTCAGCAGAAAACAAGTTTATTTATTGTTTTTGCTTTCTTTTAAAAGCCACTGAGAGTTAAGTGACCCACTATTTTAAAACTTATTTACCAAGTAAAAAGGAGCCAAAGTCACTGTCCCCATTTTGTATAGGGAATTCAAAAGAATGTCCTCTATATTTAATGAAGTATTGCTAGGACAGAGGGCTATATCACAAAATTTCGGTTGTCCCAGCTACTAAACACCCTTAGCAAATAGGAGTAATTTGAAACCAATGTAAATCTCATATGCTGTCAGCTATTTTATATACATGTACATACACAGTTGAAAGAGAGAAGTAAAAATAAACAACTTAGATGAAATTTGGCTGGCTTTATAGTATATTCTGACCTAATCTCCTGCAGTAATAACTTCAAATCCAGCCTAATAGAAAAGCATGAGTAACAGCATTTTATCCCAATTAACTCAGCTTGGCACTAAATAAGCTTGGGTATCTTCTATAAAATTTTAAATACTTCCTCTTGACCACCTGCACACATTCTCATGATTTGCAGTTATTTGATTTTAATGTTTTTGTTTTGTTTCATTTCATTTTATATTTTGCTTTCTAATAGAGAGGGATGAGAAGTATGGAGTGGGAAACTGTTCCAAATGTGCCCCAAATCTCATTCCTTTTGTATAGCTCTGAGTTTACTCAGTGGGAGAAACAATTGCTGAAGGCTGCAGAATTGATCCATGCTTTTGCTAACCCTTCCTCTTTCCTTTTTAAAGCTAATCCATGAAAATTTGGCAAACAAACCTCTTAAAATTTTTTTAAAAAATGATTTGGGCACAAAACTTTTGGGATACAGACTGCTAAACTTAATGGTCTGTAATATCCTTCATGAGAAAGGAAGGCAGGATCCTAGAACCAAGCAAGGAAATAAGCTATAGAAATCAACACAGAAAGAAATCACACTAACGACTTTTCCCAAATTAAAGAAATGTCAAAGGCAAATCTATAAATGGAATGCAATCAATATGAATAATAAAAAATAACTATCATGGGTAGTGAACTTTCCATCAAAATTTTGTTTTAGCATTCTGACATATTCCAACATTTAAATAATTCTAAAACTTTTGGGGTGCCTGGGTGGCTCAGTTGGTTAAGCAACTACCTTCAGCTCAGGTCATGATCCCAGGGTCCTGGGATGGAGTCCTGCATCGGGCTCCCCCTGCTCTGCAGGGAGCCTGCTTCTCCCTCTGCCTCTGCCGCCACTCCCCCTGCTTGTGCTCTCTCTCTCTCTTTCTAATAAATAAAATCTTTAAAAAATAATAATTCTAAATCCTTTAAAACATATAAACAGGGATGAATTAAAGTACTTTTTTGTTTCTTTTGCAGGGAGTAGAAGGGTGGGTAGGTGTTGAAAAGATGAAAGAAAAACACACAGACAAAAAACATTAACATGTCATAACATGCTGGCAAATTTTCCAAAAATAATTTCTATATATTTGTAGATTGCATATGTTTATTTAACAAAAGATATTAGCTAACCCTTGTGAAGCTGATTCATTGAATTTATACTTAACCTTTCACTAAGTATTTGAAGGAAGATGATTTTTTTAAAAAATCCAGAATGCTAGCACGCTGATGTCTTTCCAATGTTTTACTAGTTTAACAGAGTATTTACCAAAATGCCAGCAAAATGAAGCATTTATATACCTAATGTTTAAATTTTCCCCTCCAAACTTCTAGGAGTTTACTATTGTTTCTGTAAGCTAGTTTATTATGGAATGGATCAACACGGAGAAATTAGGAAAAGAAATGGAGAACAAAGAACAGAATACTCTCTGTTGCCTCCAGTCTTCCCTCTCTATTAATAAAGCAATAAAATCCAGCGTGGAAGAAATGAACACATGTAGGCTGGAATCTGAGTCTTGACTCTGTATTGATTGGTTATTTAATTCTGAATGAGAAAAATAACCTCTCTGGGTCTTACTTTAATTCTGCTTAGTATGTGGGTTTGGAGCCTAACATTATTACTATTTCACATTTTAATTATGAAACATTTCAAGAATATAGAAAAAGTAAACCAAATGATATTTCAATCATACATCTACTACACATATTTATCAAATGCTAATATTTTCTTTTATAATTTGTAATCATAAAGTTGATCAATTTTAACTTTACAACTCAAAGATTTTAACAAATTTACAGAGTTAAGTAACCATCACCAAAATCCAAGTTTAGAATATTTTCGATTTTCATCACCCCCAAAGCATCCCTTAAATGCCTTTCATAGTCAATCCCCAATCCCAGATGTGCTTTTTCTGGGCATCTCATATATGGAATCATACAGCAAGTTATCTTTTGAATCTGGCTTTTTCTACTTAGTACAGAAATCAGCAAACTGCAGCCCTCAGGCCAATCCTACATGACTGCTATTTTTGTAAAGTTGTGTTTCCAATAGCTGTACCCATTCATTTCTGTATCTATGGCTACTTTCCTGTTACAAGGTCAGAGTTGAGTAGCTACAGCAGAATTTTTAAAATATTTCTGCAACAATATTAATATTTGAGATTTGTCATCAATTTGATTTTGTGTTCTTTCCCAATCATGTATTTGTATTCAAGGTATAATTACTTCATATAAGAATTTGGAAGTTTTTATTCTTTTTCTCCTCTCTGGATTATCTAATATTTATAGAATCGATAGCATTTCCCTGTAAAAACTGTTTATGGAATTTGTTTGTGACAGATGTCTTTTATAGCATAGTTGCTCAAATATTTTTCTGGTTATTTGTCAGTTTAGATTATCTCTGCTAGGGTTATTTTTTGACAATTATATTTTCCTAGGATGAAATCCATTTCATCTAGATTTTCAAATGTATCAGTAGAATTGTACAAAAGAATTAGTGATAAGTTTTTACAAAGAGATCCCTTTTTTGTAGTTTATTCAAAATTTCTCTGTTTAATTTGTATATTCTCTTATTTTGTCATTATTTAAACTACAATTTTTTATTTGGTTGATTTTTAAATGTCATCTTTTTATGAAGTTATTAAATTTAAGCTTTATATTTTTCTAGTCATAATGTCTGCTTTTGTTTTTATTAATATATTCCTTCTGCTTCCTTTCTGTTTGCTATTTTGTTCTTATACAGATTTTTGAGTTGTATTTTTACTCATTCATACAGATATTTAATGCTAGGAATTTTCTGCTAAGCATTACTTTAGCAATATCCCATAGATTTTAACATGATTATTTTATTGTCATTATTTTCTAGAAATTCTGACATTTAGTTTTAATTTTCCTTTTTTTCTCCAGAGGGTTTTTTTTTTTTTAAGATTTTATTTATTTGAGAGAGAGAGAGAGAAAGAGGGAGAGAGAGCGTGCACAAGCAGGGAGAGCAGCAGAGGGACAAGGAAAAGTAGGCTCCCTGCTGAGCACGGAGCCTGCCATGGGGCTCTATCCCAGACCCTGAGATCATGACCTGAGCCAGACACTTAAGGGCCACCCAGGTGCCCTTCCAGAGGGTTTTTTGTTTTTTTGTTTTTTTTAAAAGGCTTAAAACGTATTTTAATAAGTTGATGCTGTATTACTGCTCCTTTTCTCAGAAAAACTCCAAAGGTATCAGGGACAAATCAAACATGGTACACCAATAAAAAAAATGCACAGCATAACTACCTACGATAGGCAAGGCTAAGAGCTACTGTCCGACCTTCAGCACACAGCAACCCTGTTCCCAAGATTGTACTAGGCCTATCAAGAAAAGCTGTGAACAGCAACATCATAGACACAAAAGGGCCGTTCCTGGGTTGTCCTAACCCAAGAAAAAAGACGGGAGGCAACTTAACACAAGATTTTTTTTTAAAGATACACTAAAATGAAAATCTCTAAGAGAAAATGTCTTCCTTAGGACATGAAGGGGTAATATATGGGATATAACAGAACCGTATGTATGTTGTCTGTGACCTCTGTGGACATTTGCCTGAATTCAAACCTGCGAGTGAATGGAACAATGGGGCTAAGGTCACTGGGGGATGCTTGTTTTTGTGGTGTATGTGGCAGTGTCTCTGGGGGTTGGAGGGTATAATGAGAAACCAAATAGAACAGGATGGACAAAGAATGGAATGATCAAGATTAATGGGGGCTCTAACTGGATCCATTTTGCCATGGTTCCCCCCCCGCATAGGCCCTCAACAATCACATGAGACTTCAGGAATGCACCATACAAAATCAATTAGTTAAACGATATACCACACAGAACTGATTTGTTAAATATCGCCCCTCCCTTGCCCTCAGCCTCCAGCAAACTCCCTCAGAGTAGTACAGGCAAGGAAGACCTAACTATTGGGAGGAATCCCTAACACTTTTCCAGGGCAGAATTCTGGCTAGTCCAAAAAGGGTCCTTCTTTTAAGGTTTTTTGGGAAACTAGACATTGAAATTTTTATTAGTATCGGCGACGTTTGTTTGGAGCAAATTCAGCTCCAGGAGCTGCACGGTTGAATGCAGGAGGGGTTCCACCAATTGCCCCAATTCCTTCATTGTAGCAGCTTGGCCAAAGCGTTCAGTTGTTGGTGGGGTCAATCCCAAGGTTCCATCTGGCATCATAGTGGCAGGTCCTGGAGGAGCTGGGGTACCTGCTGGCACTGGAGCAGGGGGCATGGCGCCTCTGTTGTTGATGCCCATAGCACCTCCCATAGCCATCTGGCCCATCCGTATCTCCTGTTCTCTCGCATCAGGGAATGTTCCCTTGAATCCTTCCGGCTGTCGCCGCATCATTTCTTCCTGTTGCCGCCGCATCTCTTCCTCACGGCGCCTGCGTTCCTCCTCCTGCCTGAGCTCCAGTTGCTTTCGTTTTTGCACTTCTTGGTTGTGCAGCTCTTCCATCCTCCGAAGTTCTTCTTGACGCCTCATCAAATCCTGTCTCATTAGCATGACCTGGTGCTCATGGCGAGCGGCCTCCATCTCCATCTCCAGCTTCTCACGAGCTTCCTTGATGTTGCGGTCCACTTGGTCCTGCTGCTGCTTCTCCATCTCAATGAGTGCCTTCCAGCGCATGGCATACTCATACTCAAAGGAGCCAGGCTGTGCAAATCTGGGTGGCTGCTCTCGCTCCCTGTGAAATTGCTGGTTCTTTATAACCAGCTTCTCTGGAAGTCCCTCTTCATCATCCAACTGGTCCATGGGCTCCACAGTCACAGGCCGAGGAAATGTGGTTAGCAGGAAGGAGCCTTCACTGCACCTGTCCAGAGCTTTCCGAGCAGCTGGCTTCCCTGAGAATTCAACAATGCCTTTTCCTGAGGGCCTTCCTCGATCATCCACGATGACTACAGCCCTTTCCACCTGGCCAAACACCGAAAAGGCTTCCTCCAGCAGTTCATTGGAAACATACTGAGGAAGGTTTTGGACTGTAAGGGATGCACTATGGCAGGCAAAGCGCGCACGCAGCTGCTTTCCACGGAGTGACATGTGGTCCAGTTCTACTTTGGCAATCTCCGCTAGGGTTCGTGTTTCCAAGCGGATAAAGCCAAAGCCCTTATCCTTATGAATGAAGACTTCGCCTGCCTTCCCATATTTCTCAAATAGTTTCCTCATCTCCTCCTCAGTGATGTCAGGAGGAAGATTGCCCACAAAGGGCCGGCTATGTTGGGTGAAGGTCTTCTCTCCTGGTTTCCTAAAATTCTTCAGGTCAATAGTCAAGCCTTCATTTTGGCTGCTGGCTTGTTGCCCATTTGCAGGTATTGGTGGCGGTGGTGGCTGCTGCTGTTGCTGCTGGTGGTGCTGCTGGTGGTGATGCTGATGATGCTTCCTTGGAGTATGGTTTTGCTTCTCCAAGTTAAAGGTTTTATTGCTCTGCATTTTTGCACCCCTCTACCGACTGTTCTCTCCTCAGAGTAACGGCGACGCTACACGGCCTCTACCGTCCCGAGAAAAGAGCGCGCGACCGCCGGAAACCCTTCCAGAGGGTTTAATAGAGATTTTATATAGTTTTGGAAGAAAGGCATTTATAAAATTTGCTATTAATTACTATTTTTTTTCTGATTGCTATTTTCATTTTTAATATATTAAGGTTTTCCTTGTGGTACAAGAAGAGCAGGAATTATTTGTAAATTTGTTCACATATACCAAAAAGGAGGGATACTATTTTTGGATTTTTTAGGCTTGCTATATATTTAAATGATATCAGAGGAGTTAAATGGAAAATGATTTAACATGAGAAAATATATTGATATAATCTAAAACATGAAAAGGTTTAAGGCAAATAACTATAAGATGGCTTCAGGAGATAAAGAAAACTATTTGATAAAGTCCAGATATTTTCATGTAAAACAACATATATCCGTCAACATAGCAGGAAATAAATTCTTAATATGGGAAAGGATATTTAGTATTTTCAACTATTTTATTTTATTTATTTTTAAAATTTTTATTTATTTATTTTATTTGTGAGTGAGAAAGAGAGAGACTGTGAGCCAGGGGAGCGGCAGAGGGAGAGGGAGAGAATCTCAAGCTGACTCCATGCTGAGGGCAGAGCCCAACTTGGGGTTCAATCTCACAACCTTGAGATCATGACCCGAGCGAAAAACCAAGAGTTGTCTGCTTAACCAACTGAGCCACACAGGTGCCTGATTCTCAACTATTTTAGATACATCTTGCTTAATCACTCTCAAATTTGTCATTATTACTAAATGTGGGTTTGTGTTTTTTTTTGCATCAGTAATATATATTTGATACAATAATGTCTTCATTAGTATAACTGCTTTAGTTCACCCTCACTTTTGAATATGATTTTTTAGTAAAATTCAGAAGTGAGAGAATCACTCACAATTTTAAAGATTGATTCTAATGCAAATTATCTTATCATTTAATTGCTGTCTCTTTGTAAATAATCTCTTTCTGTCTCTGATACATGATAAATTTTCAGGATTTCTTTTTTGGTTTGTTCCTTGTTTTGTTTTGGTTTTTGCCTTCACAGTTTTTACAGTGCAATTTTATGCCACTATGATGCATGATGGGAAAAAAAAAAAACCTTGGTTACACCCAAATCTATTATTTTCTGCTTTTATAGAAATAATACTACAGCCATCTATGGATAGTTCATATTTCCCAGCTTTCCTTGCAGTTAAGTAAGGCCAAGAGACAAATTTCTCTACAATACAACAGTTTTTAAGAAAGTAGGTAGGGTAATGTATAGTATGGTGACTATAGTTGATACTGTATTGCATATTTGAAAGCTGCTAAGAGAGTAGATCTAAAAAGTCCTTATCACAAGAAAAAAAAAGTTGTAACTATGTATAGAGACAGATGTTAACTAGACTTTGTGGTGATTTAGTAGAAGAAGAAGAAGACAACAATGACAACTAAAAGAAAGAAAGTAGGTATGTCTTCAAGAACTTTATCATTCCATTGCCTAGCTATGGATGGCAATGTCTGTGCAAAGGTACAAAAACTAAGAAATGGCAGGATTAAAAAGTCTATAGATTGCCACATAGCAGACAGCCCTCATAAACCTGACCACCTGTTCTGGATGGTTTTGTGAGGAGAAATAAGCTTCAACAAGTTTGAACCATTATATTTTAAGATTTATTTATAGAGCAATTTAATCTACCCTAACTAATAAAATGTATTTACATAAGAATTATTTTTATTTCTCCTACTCAGAACTCACTGTAATATTTAATCTGAAAACCTATGTTGTTCTTTAATTTTTAAAAGTTGCAAACCACTATAATTTCAAAGACCTGTCCTTCATTCTCTTTAGCCCCTTCTTCTATGAGTGTCTTAGAATATGTGTTCAACTTCTTCCTTTTCCTCTCCAGGTCTTCTAACTACTTAATTGGAGACTCCTCAAAAGTAGAGTCAGAGACAAAGTGTAAATAAATTGCAACTGGTTTATTAGAGAATGATCCCTGGGAAACATGAATAAGAGTGAGGAGAGCATAGGATTACAAAAGGGAGGTTTTATGGACTGAGTTGTATTCCCCTCCCCCACAAAAAAATTTATATGTTGAAGTCCTAACTCCAACTACCTCAGAATGTGACTATATCTGGAGCTAGTAATTAAGATAAAATAAGATGGATGGGTCCTAATGTAATATGGGACTGATGTCGTTATAAGAAGAGGAAATTAGAACAGTGACATATTATTAATATAATATCAATAATAATAATAATAATATTATTATTATTACTAGGGCTGCCATAACAAAATACCACAGACTGGGTGGTTTAAACAACAAAAATTTATTTTCTCACAATTTTGGAGGTTAGAAGTTCAAGACCAAGGTGTTGCAGCTTTGGTATACCCAGAAAGCTCTCTTCTTGGCTTGCCCATGGCCTCTGTAGGCATGGATACCTGGTGTCTTGTCTCTAAATTTCATTTATTTGTTGACTGATTGATTGAGAGAGAGAGAGAGAGAGAGAGAGAGCTCGTGCGTGAGCTAGGAAGAGGGGCAGAGGGAGAGGGAGAGGGATGAGAGAAGCAGACTCCCCACTGAGTGCAGAGCCTGACACAGGCTCTATCTCTTGATCCTGACACCATGACCTGAGCTGAAATCAAGAGTCAGACACAACCAACCGAGCCACCCAGGCGCCCCATAAATTTCTTATTTTATAAAGATGCCAGTCAAGTTAGATTAGGGCCCACTCTAATGATCACATTTAAACTAACTCATCTTTTTAAAGGCCCAATCTCCAAAATGCAGTTACATTCTGAGGTACTGGGGATTAGAGCTTCAACACATGAATTTTGGGGGACACAATTTAGTGCATAACAGACATACACAGAGGGAAGACCATGCAAAAACAATGGAAGAAGATGGCCACCTACAAGTCAAGGAGAAAGGCCTTAGAAGAAACCAACCCCACCAAGACCTTGATCTTGAACTTCTAGCTTCCAGAACTGTGAAAAAATAAATTTCCGTTGTTTAAACCACCTAGTCTGTGGTACTTTGTTATGGCAGCCACCACTGACTATTACAGGAAGGAAGCCAATACTGGGTGAAATCATAAGCATTATCGCTGTAAACAACAAGAGCTCAATATTGCTGGGGACCACAAAGGAGGCATTGTTGAACCTGACTCAAAACTTGGGGCATTTATCTACCAAGTCACTTATAATATATATTGAAGCTACTCACAAGGACATTAGTTCCTTGACACTTGCGATATTTTCTGTGTGTGGTCTAGGTACGCTGTAGGAGCCAAGAATGTCCTCAGGCAAAGAGCCACAGGAAATTGCAATTAAAAAAAAATCACCCACATAAATGAATAGTGTTTGTGAAGGAGATGTAAAGGAGGACTGATGGTGTAGGCTTCACTAGTCTCTAAATATTTCATCAGTTTATCTTTCTGTTGCATTTGGGTAAATATTAAACGATTACCAAATCTGTCTTACAATTCTCATCATAGCTAATTTTTAAACTTTGTTCATTATAAGAATAATACAACTGATAAGGAAATTTGGTTGTTTCTATGGCATGCAAAGTAAGAAAGTAAGATCACTACTCCCCCAAAATAGATAAAATATCTATAAATATAATGATTAACCCTATTTTCACAAAAGAGTGAATATTCTACCTAAATTTATAAAAAAGGATAAACAATTTTTACAGAGAAAATAACACTTAAATACAAATAAAATAATCTCAAGACATAATATATCATGTATATATCATGCATACAGTGATATACCTAGAATATATCAAGAATATCAAGTAAGAGTCTGGAGTAGGTCCTAAACATATGTATAATAATAAAAATAGGTAGCTGATATGAATCCTCAATTGCAAATGAATGACAACAAAATGTTAGAGTCATATTAAGGAAATGAAGATGTAATTAACAGTATTTTAAAAATTAGTGGAAATTATGACTGATAACTTATACTGTTTTTGCCTAATATCAGGCAAAACAGCACCACTACTGATAAATAGAAACATATCAGGGCCAGTGAGCGCACTGAAAAATCCTAGGGAAATTCCCATACAATATACAACTTATGAACTATTTATAGGAATATCATTTCACCCATACAAATTTAACCTAGGGAAGACTAAGCATGTCTTTTGATTTGATAACTCCTCCCATATAATTCATCAATAGCAACATATCAAATAAATCTAATTATTTCTAACATCTCTCTTTTTACAAGCTGAAAATTTCAGGCAAATTTTTATGATTTTCCAAGAACCCTCTGGGATATCTAAAGGACAGTTTTAAATGCAAAAGAAGAAATCATTTAGGATTTTACTTGGGGAAGGCAACATATCAAAAGTTGTCAGGAGATTTGAACACTTGATTATGGGTTGCTGTGTAATAATACTTTATTGCGCGTTTAACCAAAGTGACAATAAAATATTTTTTTAAAGTAGTATGATTTTTAAAGAACCATAGCCTTTCCTAAGTGAGGAACTTCTGTTTACTTACATAATCAAGGATATAATAAAATAAATATAAAGCATAGAGAGTTATTCTTGTAGGACACAGAATCTCTGTAATCTAGGCAGATGACACAGAAGGAAAATTATATCTTTTATAGCCTCTTTTAAGGGCAGACCAATAGTCCAAAATTATGTATTTTCAGAGAGAAAACCAGCTTCTAGTTTTGCATTAGTATAATATTTGATACTAATGCTCTTTTTGAAAGTCTTCTAAATAAACCCATCAGACTGTGGCCAGCTTTGACCATAATAAATAAAATTGTCTTTTCACAAACCATATAACTTTCCATGTCTATATACATCCCTTACAGTACAACTTTTCAAAGTGACAAAATAAGCATATGCATTATGAGACCTAAATAGCCACTCTTCACAAATAAAAATGAAGCAAAAATATATAAACTTATAATTATAATTAGCAATTAATGTCTCAGAATTCTATCTTATAGGTATAAACTGAATATTGATTTACGAACTCAGTTTAGTATCAGTTCAAGTTTTTCAGTT